CTGTTTCACTGACTGTCACTAAGCATCAATGATCCAACCCCACCTAGGCTATTTATAGAAGGCAATAATGTCGTTCTTGTGATGAACACTGTCCAAGTCAATGGCATAGCCTCGGGTGCAATAATGGAATATATGGCAAGACCACCATTGGAACTGAAAGTAAATAACAGTTATTTGTAAATCTGAATCAAGACTACTTGGTCTCAGTGTAACTGATGTAATTGTGAACAGAATGCTAATGAAACTAGTTGAGCTTGGCATGGTTATGTAGACATTCATCACTGGCAGAGCAGCAGAGGGAAACGGGCCTGTTCCCTTCCATTGGGAGCCAGGCAGCAGGAGAATGTGGACAAAGTGCAAGTCTAGGGTTAGGTCCAGCTTTGTCTGCTGATTCAGGTTTTTCCTACATGGGATAAAGAGGAGCAGAGCTGGGTGGCTTGGCTGGGGGCAGTGGCTAAAGGCACTGAACAAACCAGGAAGAGGCCCAAGACTGGAATCAGACCCCCAGACAGTGTCCTGGCAAGGCTGGTCAATCATAATTCGACACCATTTATTGATCAGTGTCTAGTTCAGGCTGGGACTGGGAGGGAAATGCCTGTGTTCATTGAAGGGAAGCTATGTGATCTCAATGTCAAAGTCAAAGAATAAGGAGAGGTGAAACTGTGCTCGGACAAACAGATCTCATTGTGGACAGAGAGGCTGACACAAGTATACAGATACTAAACCTAAGATACTTTTGGTATACTGGTGTCAATATTTTAATTTGCACACTTAACGCCCTTTGGTAAATTCTGATATGGGATTGTCAGCCTATACCACTGTGGATCAGTGTCAATCTGTCATTAATGAAGAGCACAATCAGAGGACAATTACAGTGATCATTTCAGCACTCTGATGGGACATAGAACAGTAGGCTGTAATGTGTCAATGTTATATCAATCAAACCAAATCCTAGGGTTACTAAAGTAGGCTTCAAATGTTACATTAGTTCTAGTGATGTAATAGGAAACAAATCAACTATCTATATACACTATACAATATGGAGACAATGGATGGATATGTGAGCTATTCACATGGATTCGTGGCATACCGATACATATTATTGTGCTTCAAATTAAAATATTTCTCTGTCCACAAGGTGGCAGCGGTCCCCTAGATTTCAACACCTCTGCTGAACATCGTGAAACGCTTGGAGACAGAAATGACACAATATACTGTGACAGAAATGTAATAGTTACATCCTTCATAAAAGGGCTGTCACGCCCTGGCTCTGGGGACTCTTATATGTTGAGCCAGGGTGTGTAGGGTCTATGTTTTGTGTTCTATGTTCAGTTTCTAGTTCATGTGTTTTCTAGGTTGGCCGGGGTGGTTCTCAATCAGAGGCAACGAGAATCAGCTGTTGTTTGTTGTCTCTGATTGGGAACCATACTTAGGCAGCCTGTTGTGCACTTGTGTTTGGTGGGATCTTGTTCCGTGTTGGTTTGTGTTCATGACCGAGGACTTCACGTTTCGTTTTGTTGTTTTGTATTTTGTATCGTGTTGCTAGTACACTATTAAAGAGATGTACGCATATCACGCTGCGCCTTGGTCCAATCATTATGACGATCGTGACAGAAGATCCCACCAATACAGGACCAAGCAGCGTGTCCAGGAGCAAACGCCGGAGGTAACGTTAGTGGATGTCCTCCTCGGTTGGGGGCAGATCACGGAGGAGGAGGCAGTCCGTTACCGGAGGGCGATGAAGGGGGAGACCCAGGCAGGAGAGGAGAAGCGGCGCCAACCGGGCCGTCGTCGGACAGGCGAGAGGCACCCCCAAGACATTTTTTTGGGGGGGCACACGGCATGGACGACGGGGCTGCTGGAGGCAGATAAAGGGCGAGTTTGTGGACGAGGAGAGAAGGCCACCAGGTTACGGGGGCCATTAGTCAGTAGAGGGAAGGAGAGTGTAGAGGCACGGCGAGAGGTACTGAGGTGTGTTACCAGTCTGGTCCGGCCCGTTCCTGATCCCCACACAAGGCCAGTGGTGTGTGTTCCCAGTACGGTCCGGCCTGTTCCTGCCCCTCGCACCAAGCCTGTGATGCGCGTCACCAGCCCGGCCCGGCCTGTTCCTGCCCCTCGCACCAAGCCTATGGTGCGCGTCGCCAGCCCAGTCCGGCCCGGATCCGCCTCCGAGGTGGAATGCCCACCCGGCCCCTCCCCTGTTGGGTTTATGTTGGCGCGGTCGCAGTCCGCGCCTTTGGGGGGGGGGGGGTACTGTCACGCCCTGGCTCTGGGGACTCTTATATGTTGAGCCAGGGTGTGTAGGGTCTATGTTTTGTGTTCTATGTTCAGTTTCTAGTTCATGTGTTTTCTAGGTTGGCCGGGGTGGTTCTCAATCAGAGGCAACGAGAATCAGCTGTTGCTTGTTGTCTCTGATTGGGAACCATATTTAGGCAGCCTGTTGTGCACTTGTGTTTGGTGGGATCTTGTTCCGTGTTGGTTTGTGTTCATGACCGAGGACTTCACGTTTCGTTTTGTTGTTTTGTATTTTGTATCGTGTTGCTAGTACACTATTAAAGAGATGTACGCATATCACGCTGCGCCTTGGTCCAATCATTATGACGATCGTGACAAGGGCCAATCAGTAGTTGAAACAATAACAAAATGTACTCTCCGCCACTGTTTCGGTAAAAGGCAGAGGGATGGGGCTGGAGAAATGTAACCAGTCTAAAATTCTACGGATGCAAGGACTGACCATCCATGAAATCAAAATGATAGTTCTAACCATGTTTTGAGGCTTTACAGTGTTTGTTTGCATTTACTTTGTTTACAAACATTGGAGTAAAACAAACTTATATTTTGGGTTCTGATGGGGAACAACTGTTTAACTAAACTCCAGGGTTGGGGTCAATTCCATTTAAATTCCAGTCAACTCAGAAAGTAAACCAAATTCCCAGAGAATTGGAATGTCATTGTACTTCCTGAATTGACTGGAATTTTAATGTAATTGACCCCAACCCTGCTAAACTCATGAGGTATTTATAAAGTTATATTCTTCAAGAATCAATGGGTACATATAATTAATTGATATGTCCCAAAATTGTATGTAGCTGCTGATTGCACCTTTAAAGAGATTCTCCTGTACTTTTGTATACTTTTTAGCCAGTAGTTCTGAAAGAAGCGCTCACAAGCCAAAAGTCTCAGAAAATTGCGTACTACATCACAAATGTGCAGATATGTGCACCACGTCATTGTTCTCTCTCTCACTCTACCGTGTGTGAATCTTGCAAGCTGTCACTCAAATGGCGAGGGGCTGGAGCTCATTGGCTGAAACTCAAATTGCTAGGGGGCTGGCCCACGTGGGGGAAAATGGGGCCACATAGCTTCCAGAAAACAGTCGCTTTCAAACTAGGGATTTCGTGGCTAATTGAGGTTAGACAGTAATTCTGCTCATAGATTATGCATTTATCAACTACACATTGACACATCCAGCACAAAGTGGGAGGTTGAAAAAATACTAGTCGCCAAAGTACCTGAGCATGTCTTTAATATTTCATTGGCGGAGGGAAGTTTGAGGTTGCAGTAATAATGAAAGGAAAAGGGTGTGGGCTTCAAGTAGTTTTTATTACTGTTCTACAAATGCCATAAAGTTAACAAAGTTTTGAAATGTGAATGCCCTGCAAATTGTTACGATTCCTGACATGTCATAATAACACTGCATTGGTGTGAAGGTATTTTTTTGCATCAGTCAGGGGGTAACTATACCACTTACAGGAGGTTGGTGGCACTTTAATTGGGAGGACGGGCTCGTGGTAATGGCTGGAGCGGAATCAGTGGAATGGTATCAAATACATCAAACACATGGTTTCCATGTGTTTGATGCCATTCCATTCGCTCCATCCATTATTATGAGCCTTCCTCCCCTCAGCAGCCTCCACTGATACCACCCTATGGCACAATCAGAGAGTAATGGACAAAGGGTAAACATGAACAAAGCCGGTCCCAATACACTTCCTAGCCCTTCCCCTTGGCCATATCCCTGCGATTGCAGGTCTGTAAGGTGGAAGCAATATGGTGGAAGCTCCACCACTACACTTTTATTACCTATCACCCTTCAGATCTGCAAACATAAAAGTGTTTAATATGGCAAAGGGGAAGGCGTAGGGAACCAGTTGGGATTGGCTATGTGTGTTGCAATGTAAAAAGGGAGTTGTCCTCACACCTTTATTCAATCCCATTGGCTGAACTGATGTTTTATTACAGGTCACCATGGTGATCTCCCAAAGAGAGCCAATCAGAGCATATCTCTACTCTGGCTTACATCACAGCACTGAGTGAAGAGTGTGTCCTGGCAGTGGTACGCAAGGGTAAGAGAGGGAACACATTTTTCCCTCATGGTCACTCAAAAGGAAAAGGTAGCAATGGAACATAAACTCATCAGCTATTTACAGATCGTAAACTAGGCATGTACTGTACGATCATGTACATTACATACATAATTTGACACCACCATGTCAATAAAATTTGTTCAATATGTGACAGTAGCTGCTTTCAAAACTCAGTCAACACAAAGTCAGGACTTTTCCAGAACAGAGAACAACTAAGCAAATATATTCTAAGATTACAGTGAGCAAGCCTAGCAAATATAGAAAGTACTATAAAAGTTATCAACATTCTTATTCTCTTCGTTGAGGCTTTGTTCAGTGATAGGCTAGTCTGGTTCCAGATCTGTTTGTGCTGTCTTGCCAACACTTATGGTCACAGCACAAACAGATCTGGGACCAGGCTAGTGATAGGCTTCCTCAACTCCCATTATGTAAAAGGTAAACAGCACTCTCAAGGACACAGGTGCTGTAGAGAAACATAATATTATAATATAGATTGACATGTCAGAAACATACTCCAGCACGCAAGGAAGGCAGTGTGTGTCGAGTCGTCCAAGGCCACATTGATCACTTTGGTACCAACCCAGCGGGCAAAACTGGGCAAAAGTTTCTGGCTGTAATAACATTAACCCATTTCAACCAGTTTTGCCCACTGGGAAGTGATTATAACTCTCCTACCCTCTTACACAGTCTCCTAGCCAGTTCATTTGGACTTGTCTTTGCAGTCAAGCAACCGTTTTACTTTCCTCGCCATGAAGACTGCTATGCAGACACAGGCCACCAGCGTGGCTCCATACTGCACCAGATAGATAGTGGCTGCTGCTCCTCCCTCTCCATGTAGCGGTGTGTAGAGTGGCCGTCGGCCCAGGTAGTCCAGGTGAGAGGCCTGGATCTGACAGAGAGTACAGATCACCAGGAAGACGTGGAACAGCTGGTGGCCCTGCCCCAGGAAGTCACAGTGGCCTGGGAACAGACGCTCTGGGAGTGGGTTGGTGAAGAAGAACGCACTGGACAGGAAGAAGGCTACCTGGCCCCCATGGAAGGATATAGCAGGGTCGCCGACTACGCCACTGGCCGGGGCAGTGATGTCATCACTGTGCGACGTGGGCCAGAGGAGGAGGCGGTGGAACACCGGGCTAGTATCCCAGGCATAGGCCATAGCCGAGGGAACCACCTGCCCCACCTTCCGGACCCAGACCCGCAGGCTGTGGTTGCGATACTTCCCATAGCAGCAGCCCAGGCAGGACAGGCAGCAGAGGAAGGTGGCAGTGGGCATGAAGACCGAGGAGACCCACCGGTGGTAGTCTGGTTCCACAGCATAGTAGAAGTGAGCCACGGCGCTGCCGTACTGATACTGAGCCACTCCTACGTAATCCAGGAAGAAGAAGCAGTAGTGGTAGAACTCTGATTTGGCGGCCAGGAGGTGGGCTACAGTGCTGCAGGCCATGTAGGCCAGGGAGGACAGGAGGAGGATGAGGAGGGGCCAGGCGTGGGCATCATGGATAAAGTCTACCATCTCAGCCAGCTGGAGGAACCTGACCAGGACAAGGAGAGACCCCAGCAGGTGGGTCCACACGTTGATGGTCTCGTTGTGACACTGGAACAGCGACAGGAAGTAGTACCTGTATTGATAAGGAGACGGAACACTATTATGTTAGCTTCAGAGATTGACACCATTATGTTAGCTTCAGAGACGTCTTTACTATGATAAAACCGGATGTTGTACATAGCATTATGGGTATTGCAGTACATCATGTTACAGTACCTCCAGCCCTGGTGGAGCGGTCGGTAGCCAGCTTGGATGTAGTGCTCTCTGAAGAACCCGGGAACTTCGGTGTCCCGTAGCGTGCCGGGCATGGAGGGGGCGGCCTCTGTCAGCATCTGGGGCACCGCCCTTAGCTGCTGAAGGTTGATGAACAGACGCCCAATCCTCTCCATGACGATTGTTGCCATGAAGGATGGTCTGATGGACGGTGGGACTGTTGTTGTTGCTGGCTGGATAGCTCCAGGAGACTGGCAATTGAAAGAGAAGGAGAGTAACACCATTAGAAAGGCATTTAGCATTCTAACACTTAAAAGGCTTAAAAACAATAACTAAGAATAAAAAGAGGTTTAAAATTACTTAATTTATTTTAAAACTGCGGAGCAAGTAAAACTATTGGCAATAAAAACATCACCTTTGTTGGAGGACTCCGCAAACACAAGCTTATATTACAACCGGAACGATTAACAAGACAATTAGAATTTGGGGTGTGTGCAGTTGACAATCAGCGAAGGCTATGAAAACGTTTAATGTTGAATGAAATGGATATGAAAAGAAATACAAATACATCACACTACTTGCTTCAGCAGTCAAATTACTTAAAAATAAGTCTCTAGTCCAAGTGAACGTCTCTCCTTCACAGTTCCTCTGTAAAATCCTGCCACCTCAGTAGAGAGGACTAGACTGGTGAGTGCACGTTCAGTCTGGTTTAACCAGGGAAACAGAGGACACCCTTTATGCTTGCCCTACCTGGCTAGGTCACCAAGGCCCCAGGAGGCCAGATTACACCAGACCTGTTCTGACTCCTGCAGCAGAGCTGACAATGTATTAACAGTAGTTAGCCTTAATCTGCAGTTAACCTAGCAGATTAGGCTACTATAATGTCTATGGACCTTGCCCTGGGCTTCTAATGCTCAGTGTCTGATACATTATTTATCTCTGTAGTTTGTACTCTAAACAGTAATAGGAGGGAGAGGAGCGATGCTATGGGGGGGACATGAACACTTCAACCTTGAAGATGAACAGAGAAAAGATAAGGATATCTTTCTAAGCAGTGTGGTGTATAAACTTTACCCTAATTGCTCCTGTAAATCACTCTGGATAAGAGTGTGCTAAATGAATAAAATGTAAATGTAATGTAAATGTAATGGGAGTCTAATAACTAAACACACAAATCTGATTAAAATGTATACATTGAAACAGATAAAGTCACACTTGAAATGTATTTCTAATGCAGTTTGAATTCATTATACACTCTCCTTCCTTAGGGTGAAAACTCAAACATTGTTCTCTCCTCCCTCTCTTTATGTTCTTCTGATCATACGATGCAAGCACGTTTTTATCAAGTAATCAAATTTTCATTTCCTGAACTGGTGAAAGAATGCATTTTCAGAAGCAGACAGCATAAGTATGTTATCCAACCAGAAAGCACTATCAGACATGTTTACACAGTAACTTTAAACTTTTATTGACCACATGCCCACATCTGATAAAACAGAGTTGCTTATTAAAATAAATGTAGTTGCAACACCTTCAAAACGAGATCCTTACATGATAACAACGCATATTCAGTCAAGTTAATGTAATTTCAGCAATACCTATTTCCTATTGTCAACCCTGTCAAGTGTTTGCCTATGGCTAATGTGACTGAGGAATTTACACTGTGGCACCCATTGACTAAATATCGTTGACACCCAATAATAACGCAATCAATACCTCACATAAACCTACAGTATAAATCTCAGCCTCTCCCATGTTTTAGTGACAAAGGCTGCTGAGAGAGGCAGGCAGAGCAATCAGTGAGAAATTCCTTTCTGACATTGCTCTCTTCCACAAATCAGAAAAACCTATTTCACGCCCATCAAATACTATAACTTAACATGTTGACATGCATTCAATTTAATTTGGTATAGGCTACACTAAAATAATTTGTGCTCTTTCTTGCGTACACTGTTTCACGTGATAAGTAAAAAGTTTGAGAACATTGCACAAGATGAGGGAGAAAATACCAATGCATGTGGGTCTACTTCTTCCTCTTCAAGGCTACTACTGTAGGCTTACTTTATTAGCCTACATCAGACGAGTCCGGGACACGCAGCGCAGCAAGACCTTCCGCGGGATCTTTCACCTTCAGATGTGATGATCGTCCGACTGTCTCCGTCTATTTCCCCCTCCGACAGTCATCACTCGGTCACGCCTCCCCGACCGGTGACAGCCTTGTCAACCACTCAGATACTGAAATGCAACAGATGCGTGTCCTATATGAACACGAGGTGTCCAATGGCAAGTAAGTAGGCGGTCGTTACCAGTAAAGGAGCGAGAGAGAGAAGAAATGTGGTATATACCTTGGCAACAGGAAACTTTGGCGTGGACGTCTGAACGACTGCGAACTGTCCCTCATGCCTTTAGGACAAGTCACCGTGTAACTGTTTCTAGTCAAGTTTAGATTTCGCTCTGTTGTTTCACATTTACATTTACATTTTAGTCATTTAGCAGACGCTCTTATCCAGAGCGACTTACAGTTAGTGCATACATTATTATTTTTCATACCCCCTGTGGGAATCGAACCCACAACCCTGGCGTTGCAAACGCCATGCTCTATCAACTGAGCTACATCCCTGCCGGCCATTCCCTCCCCTACCCTGGACGACGCTGGGCCAATTGTGCGCCGCCCCATGGGGTCTCCCGGTCGCGGCCGGCTACGACAGAGCCTGGATTCGAACCAGGATCTCTAGTGGCACAGCTAGCACTGCGCCACTCGGGAGACAATGACGGTGAAATTGTTTCAATAGGTTGATACAGTAGCCTATAACCTGTTGGTTTCGAGGGATGAATACTGAGGGACTAAATATATAGTATGCTATATTTTAGCCTGCTATAAAGCTTCTACGTGGAGTCTAAATAATGTAAAATGTAATTTAAGTCCAATGGTATAAAACACTGTAAATACAACAACAAAAATATCCGGAACGTGGGCGGCATTAGGAACATTCTTTCGCGTGGATGTGTCCGGAACGTGGTGTCATGGAACGAAACATTGCACAATCTCAATCTCCTTTAGAAAACTTTCCCGCCTGTGTGTTTAACCTGTTTCAAACAGGGAGAGGCTATGTCAATGGCATAGCATTGACAGCATTATTTACATGTTTGCGGGGTTATACAGTATGTCTATGGGTTTAATTTAAAATATTTCATATTCTGCATTATCAGCAAAAGCAGTTGATGTAGGCTACACAATCAGGTTTTTAAAAACTGCCCTATGCTATTTGTGTCTGCAATTTGGTTACTCAGTATTGCCTGCCTATTAAACCAGATTGGAAACCATGCCAGGGATGTTTGCCAGAGCATATATAATGTACCAAACTAAGAATGAACCGCTTCAGATAATCAACAAAGGTCTGCTTTGTAGCTTGGAAGCTCCCTTCAAATGGTGCAGACAATTATATAATATGTTGACAGTGCCCATTTGGGCAGTATCCCATTGGCAGTACCCTACTAACGGGGTGTGGCGGGGGGGGGGGGGGGGGGCCTTCTCCTCTTCTGCTGAAAGACCCACTTTAGCTATTTTTGATCTATGATAAAGGATAAAAGGGGTGTTCTTGGCAGCTCCAAGCTAGTTCTTAGAATTTGCTTGGGTTTTCCTTTTTCCCTAGGGTTCCCGGGTTTACTATTTTGCTTCATGGTGTCCAGAATATACCGAAGTATCCCTTGAGGGATGTAGTGGTAAAAACATAGGTGGGTGAACCCTAAACTCTGTGGGTAAGTAAGTGGGTATACCATAAAACACTCATCTAGCAGAATAGGTGGGTAAACTACAAAATGCAAAATAGCATTAAAGGGATAGTTCACACAAATTCCAAAATGACACATTGGTTTCCTTACCCTGTAAGCAGTCTATGGACAAGGTATGACAGCAATGCATTCTTTGGTTTAGTTTCCCAGTCACTGTTTCCACATACTAACATTAATCATTTGTGCCACAAATCCTATTCAAGTCATTGGACTGATATTAGCATTTTTTGTAAATCATGTCCAACATTTATTTATTTATTTATTTTTATTTATTTCACCTTTATTTAACCAGGTAAGCCAGTTGAGAACAAGTTCTCATTTACAACTGCGACATGGCCAAGATAAAGCATAGTAGTGCGATAAAAACAAGAACACAGAGTTACATATGGGGTAAAAAAACATAAAGTCAAAAAAAATACAACAGAAAATATATATACAGTGTGTGCAAATGTAGCAAGTTATGGAGGTAAGGCAATACATAGGCTATAGTGCAAAATAATTACAATTAGTATTAACACTGAAATGGTAGATGTGCAAGAGATTATGTGCAAATAGAGATACTGGGGTGCAAAAGAGCAAAATAAATAACAATATAGGGATGAGGTAGTTGGGTGGGCTAATTTCAGATGGGCTGTGTACAGGTGCAGTGATCGGTAAGGTGCTCTGACAACTGATGCTTAAAGTTAGTGAGGGAGATAAGAGTCTCCAGCTTCAGCGATTTTTGCAATTTGTTCCAGTCATTGGCAGCAGAGAACTGGAAGGAATGGCGGCCAAAGGAGGTGTTGGCTTTGGGAATGACCAGTGAGATATACCTGCTGGAGCGCAGACTACGGGTGGGTGCTGCTATGGTGACCAATGAGCTAAGATAAGGCGGGGATTTGCCTAGCAGTGATTTATAGATGGCCTGGAGCCAGTGGGTTTGACAACGAACATGTAGTGAGGACCAGCCAACAAGAGCGTACAGGTCACAGTGGTGGGTAGTGTATGGGGCTTTGGAGACAAAACGGATGGCACTGTGATAGACTACATCCAATTTGCTGAGTAGAGTGTTGGAGGCTATTTTGTAAATGACATCGCCGAAGTCAAGGATCGGTAGGATAGTCAGTTTTACGAGGGCATGTTTGGCAGCATGAGTGAAGGAGGCTTTGTTGTGAAATAGGAAGCCGATTCTAGATTTAACTTTGGATTGGAGATTCTTAATGTGAGTCTGGAAGGAGAGTTTACAGTCTAACCAGACACCTAGGTATTTGTAGTTGTCCACATACTCTAGGTCAGACCCGTCGAGAGTGGTGATTCTAGTCGGGTGGGCGGGTGCCAGCAGCGTTCGATTGAAGAGCATGCATTTAGTTTTACTAGTGTTTAAGAGCAGTTGGAGGCTACTGAAGGAGTGTTGTATGGCATTGAAGCTCGTTTGGAGGTTTGTTAACACAGTGTCCAATGAAGGGCCAGATGTATACAAAATGGTGTCGTCTGCGTAGAGGTGGATCTGAGAGTCACCAGCAGCAAGAGCGACATCATTGATATACACGGAGAAAAGAGTCGGCCCAAGAATTGAACCCTGTGGCACCCCCATAGAGACTGCCATAGGTCCAGACAACAGGCCCTCCGATTTGACACACTGAACTCTATCTGAGAAGTAGTTGGTGAACCAGGCGAGGCAGTCATTTGAGAAACCAAGGCTATTTAGTCTGCCAATAAGAATGCGGTGGTTGACAGAGTCGAAAGCCTTGGCCAGGTCGATGAAGACGGCTGCACAGTACTGTCTATTATCGATTGCGGTTATAATATCGTTTAGGACCTTGAGTGTGGCTGAAGTGCACCCATGACCAGCTCGGAAACTGGATTGCATAGCGGAGAAGGTACGGTGGGATTCGAAATGGTCAGTGATCTGTTTGTTAACTTGGCTTTCAAATACTTTCGAAAGGCAGGGCAGGATGGATATAGGTCTGTAACAGTTTGGATCTAGAGTGTCACCCCCTTTGAAGAGGGGGATGACCGCGGCAGCTTTCCAATCTCTGGGGATCTCAGACGTTACGAAAGAGAGGTTGAACAGACTAGTAATAGGGGTTGCGACAATTTCGGCGGCTAGTTTTAGAAAGAAAGGGTCCAGATTGTCTAGCCCAGCTGATTTGTAGGGGTCCAGATTTTGCAGCTCTTTCAGAACATCAGCTGTCTGAATTTGTGTGAAGGAGAAGCGGGGGGGACATGGGCAAGTTGCAGCGGAGGGTGCAGAGTTGGTGGCCGGGGTAGTGGTAGCCAGGTCGAAAGCATGGCCAGCTGTAGCAAAATGCTTGTTGAAATTCTCGATTATTGTAGATTTATCGGTGGTGATAGTGTTTCCTAGCCTCAGTGCAGTGGGCAGCTGGGAGGAAGTGCTCTTATTCTCCATGGACTTTACAGTGTCCCAAAACTTTTTGGAGTTAGTGCTACAGGATGCAAATTTCTGTTTGAAAAAGTTAGCCTTTGCTTTCCTGACTGCTTGTGTATATTGGTTCCTAACTTCCCTGAAAAGTTGCATATCGCGGGGGCTATTTGATGCTAATGCAGTACGCCACAGGATGTTTTTGTGCTGGTCAAGGGCAGTCAAGTCTGAGGAGAACCAGGGGCTATATCTGTTCTTAGTTCTGTATTTTTTGAATGGGGCATGTTTATTTAAGATTGAGAGGAAATTACTTTTAAAGAACAACCAGGCATCCTCTACTGACGGAATGAGATCTATATCCATCCAGGATACCTGGGCCAGGTCAATTAGGAAGGCCTGCTCGCTAAAGTGTTTTAGGGAGCGTTTGACAGTGATGAGGGGTGGTCGTTTGACCGCGGACCCGTTACGGACACAGGCAATGAGGCAGTGATCGCTGAGATCCTGGTTGAAGACAGCGGAGGTGTATATAGAGGGTAAGTTAGTCAGGATGATATCTATGAGGGTACCCATGGTTACGGATTTAGGGTTGTACCTGGTAGGTTCGTTGATAATTTGCGTGAGATTGAGGGCATCTAGTTTGGATTGTAGGATGGCCGGGGTATTAAGCATATCCCAATTTAGGTCACCAAGCAGTACGAACTCTGAGGATAAATGGGGGGCAATCAATTCACATATGGTGTCCAGGGCACAGCTGGGGGCTGAGGGGGGTCTGTAGCAAGCAGCAACAGTGAGAGACTTATTTCTGGAAAGGTGGATTTTTAGAAGTAGAAGCTCAAACTGTTTGGGCACAGACCTGGATAGTATGATAGAGCTCTGCAGGCTATCTCTACAGTAGATTGCAACTCCACCCCCTTTGGCAGTTCTATCTAGACAGAAAATGTTATAGTTGGGGATGGACATTTCAGAATTTTTGGTGGCCTTCCTAAGCCAGGATTCAGACACTGCTAGAACATCAGAGTTGGCGGAGTGTGCTAACGCAGTGAATAACTCAAACTTAGGAAGTAGACTTCTGATATTTACATGCAGGAAACCAAGGCTTTTGCGATTACAGAAGTCAGCAAATGATAGCGCCTGGGGAGTAGGAGTGATACTGAGGGCTGCAGGGCCTGGGTTAGCCTCTACATCACCGGAGGAACAGAGGAGGACTAGAATAAGGATACGGCTAAAGGCTTTAAGAACTGGTCTTCTAGTGCGTTGGGTACATAGAATAAAGGGGGCAGATTTCCGGGCGTTGTAGAAAAGATTCAGGGCATTATGTACAGACAACGATATGGAAGGATATGAGTAAAGTGGAGGTAAACCTAAGCGTTGGGTAACAATGAAAGAGATAGCATCACTGGAGGCACCAATTGAGTCGGTCTCCGCGTGTATGGGGGGTGGGACAAAGGAGCTATCTAAGGCAGGTTTAGCTGGGCTGGGGGATCTACAGTGAAATAGTACAATTAGAAATAACCAAAACAACAATAAGCTAACCATATTGAGATGGGAGAGATGCATAAAGCAATCACGGTGTAATTTGAGAGTGTCACACCCTGGCTCTGGGGACTCTATATGTTGAGCCAGGGTGTGTAGATTCTATGTATTCTAGTTCTGTGTTGTAGGTCTATGTGTTCTATTTCTATGTTGGCCAGTGTGGTTCTCAATCAGAGGCAACGAGTGTCAGCTGTGGCTGGTTGTCTCTGATTGGGAACCATATTTAAACAGTCTGTTTTCCATTCGTGTTTGTGGGATCTTGTTCCGTTTGGGTTGTGTTTACCGTAGGACGTCACGTTTTCGTTTTGTTCGTGCATTCATTATATAAATAAATATGTTCGTTCATCACGCTGCGCCTTGGTCTACTCCATATAACGATCGTGACAGAGAGAGCTAAGACAACAGCTGGTAATGACGACACAGTTTGGGCTGAGGCTAAACATAAACAGGATGCGGTACCGTAAAAAGGAACAGTCCAGGAGGCATCAGCTGTATAGCTGAGTTATCATAAGGTCCGGTGATCAGCAAATCATCCACAAGTATCTAAAATTGATTGTAAAACTCAACAAAGTCACTGAAAGATGTTTTGAACACGATAGCCTTGACCAATATGTCATTTTGTAATTTGTGTGAACTATCCCTTTAAAAAGGTAAAAGGTGAGTAAACCCTATTAATAAAATATAAAGTTTGGTAAACTGAGTTTACTTGAATTAACCCTCCATTACTGATCCTCTGCTTTCAAGTTATTTGTTAATGGTCAGCTGTCAGCAACCTAGAAAACAAACAGGTGTAGATTACTGTTAGCCGACATTCAAGCTTTTCTGGTGCGCATAATTGCTTGGGGCTTTTTCAGTTGTTGTTCAGCCTTGTATTTAAAATTGCATTAAAATATCTGAAACACCTAAAGAATGAAATTGCATCTGGTCAGACACAAAAGCTAGTCTACCCTACTGATTCTAAAGTTAAATAACTTTTAGGAACAGGTTCACAGATTCAGATTGAGCTTTTTAGTCCAGTAGTTGACTTAACCTGGACGTGGAAAATCATTCCTCAGTATAGATAGCTAGATGTATTTTGTGCCTAACTATTTGTAAACGTGAAATCATTTCAAATATATCCACTGTGTGGCACTGTTTCCTTTCACATTGATGTAGTTGACATACAGAATTGTAAGGAGAGCAGAGCCCACGTATCTGTATCTCTTCATTTTCTTTGTTTTGAGATCACAATGGAGCTTTGACTCTATACAATGTTATATAAATGTATGATCCAGATGTGAAGAATGTACTGACCTTTTATTGAGCATCAATATCTCCAGCATCTTCTGCAGGGTTGTGCTTTTCTGTCACGTGTTGTAAAATAGAGCAGCCTGTGGAAATGATCAAATATATCCAATACATTTGATCAGCCCCCCCTCTTTCTTTTTTTTACATTGTTTTCATTTCTTACACTCATCTTGTCTTTTTTTCATGTGTTGTCATCTTATTTCTTATTTTGAAAACCATGTCACTGATTTATTTATGGTGGTAATCAATCAATAACAACAATGTCAGCTAATATGTTTGAGTCAGAGTCAAGGTAATGGCCATCCATTGTGTATCTACTTCTCAGATGGAAATAGTCTATACCTTAACCTTCACTTCCAAGGCCATCTAGCTTTATTGCTCTATATATTCATATTCCTGAAATGACCATCCATGCAAACAAATTCATAACAAAACCTTTGGGACCTTATCAGTCAATATTCCTCATTATTGATGATGTTCAAAACCATTGAGCCGGTCTGTATTGACAGCATGATCACAAAACGTATGTCAGCTGTTATACAACCTAAACAATATGACCTCTTTAAATTGCAGTGTAAACACAACAAATAGCTGAAGGAAATGAACCTTTCATGGACCTAACCGTGATGATACTGTGGTCTCTAAGGATTGCTTTGTACTGTCTATTTCCCTATTTCACGTTGTGATATATACAGTAGGGGTGGTGGTTTCCTTGTGATGCCTATAGGTGTCAGCTAGGAAACCTCGTCCCCAGGTTAATTGCCAACAAGCCCTGGCTGGTGGACAAGACTAAGGTTCGGGTAACAGGGGTTTTGTGTCTGATACCTGCACTGATTGATTCACTGTGATTGCCAAAAACCTCAGTCACTGTCTTATAAATGTTAAAAGCTCCAAGTGCCTGTTTATTGGCCAACACATAATCAATATCTCAACTGAGACAAAAGACAGCAAATCCATTGATGAGTGGGTTTGTTTATGGACATTGAATGAGATTTGGTTGCAGGGTCTCACATATTGCAGGATCTGACATAAGGTAAAGGTTTCAAATGAGATGAGAGATTTTTTTCCCTATGGAGAAAACTCCCTATCTGAACACTGAAGAGGCTGCTTATTTTTGTAAGTCAACTCCACATGCACACCCGCACACGTTGAATTTGAATGCACAGAGATACCGTAACGAGATCCTGAGGGCCATTGTCATGCCATTCATCCGCCGCCATTACCTCATGTTTCAGCATGATAATACACAATTCCTGGAAGCTGAAAATGTCCCAGTTCTTCCATGGCCTGCATACTCACCAGACATGTCACCCATTGAGCATGTTTGGGATGCGCTTGATCGACGTGTACGACAACGTGTTCCAGTTCCTGCCAATATCCAGCAACTTCGCACAGCCATTTAAGAGGAGTGGAACAATATTCCACAGGCCACAATCAACAGCCTGATTAACACTATTTTACCTTTATTTAACTAGGCAAGTAAGTTAAGAACAAATTCATATTTACAATGACGGCCTACACCGGCCAAACCCGGACGACGCTGGGCCAAATGTTCGCCGCCCTATGGGACTCCCAATCACAGCCGGTTGTGATACAGCCTGGAATCGAACCAGGGGGTCTGTAGTGACGCCTCAAGCACTGAGATGCAGTGCCTTAGACCGCTGCGCCACTCGGGATGTGTTGCGCTGCATGAGGCAAATAGTGGTCACACCAGATACTGAATGGTTTTCTGATCCACGCCTCTACCTGCTTTTTCTTTTCTGTATCTGTGACCAACATATGCATATCTGTATTTCCAGTCATGTGAAATCCATAGATTAGGGCCTAATGAATTTGTTTCAATTGACTGATTTCCTTATATGAACTGTAAATTAGTAGAGTCTTTGAAATTGTTGCATGTTCCGTTTACATTTTTTTTTCTGTATAATTACAAAGAGAAAATTGGGTTTTAGAGACTGAGCACTCAGCATTCTCTCTCCTGCACGCGGTGTCTGAACGGTTTGGCCCATAAGTGTCACTGGACTCATCTGAAGTCGGTAATGCTAATGTGCCAACTTCTGTCTGTAGCTTCCGAACTGTTTGGGCTATATGACCCCACTGTGGAAAGGGGTGGCTCTCACGAACATGATGGGGTTCTCTGTTTTGCTCTACTACTCCCACAAGTGTCACGGGACTCATCTGAAGGTAACCCATACATAACCCATTTTGTGTTCCAAAAAGCCAAATTCAATATTTAATCAAATATTTGTTATATATATTTTTTTTGGGTTACCTAAAGGGGTCCTAAAATTCAAAATCAAATAACTAAATGATCACCCACGTCCATATGTGTGTCTTTCTCTGTTTTCTCCCTACCTCAACTGCACTGTCTTCTGCAGCAGCAGATGATCTGTCGATGCTAAGCCTAGTATAATTTCTCAGCACAGACACAGTCACAGCACTCGGACCAGCAAAACCAAAACTTTTAGAAAATAAGTTGATTCATTTCACACATTTAGCAGCGTCGGCCTCATGAGCGTTTTTTTAGTCGCAAACTTTTTCGGCACCACCTTTCCGTCTTTTACGATCCATGACCTTGGCTGACTGACAACAGAGATTCAGAGCGGGTCTCTTCGCTGATGCGCGTTTGACTTTGAATGTGCATTTTTGCGCAACCTCAGTTTAGCCTATCATAAACCTGGCCGGACCATCTGGTGGGGTGCGGCGGCCGTTGCCCACCGATCAGGCAAATGCTCAAATATATTATTATGACAACAGAGAAATTGCGCAAAAATCCAAAAAAAAATCTATCTAAACAGGCCGTTGGGTCACTGGCTCCTTTTTTTTGCACCAGCCCACCCAACAAAAAGATGGTCCATCTGGCATTTGCCAGAATTGCTAGATGGCCAATCTCATTGTTCTATCTGTGGAGAAGCTGGTTGCCAGGAAGTGGGGCGAATGAAATTCATTTTTCACAGTTGGTGATGGCGGATGTCGAAATCGACACCATGAAGAATTACCACATAGCCTTTGAGAGAATAAACCCCAATACGAGTCGTTACCCCTACTGTATCGTGTGGACACCTATCCCCGTACTATCGTGAGTTCCCGGAGTAAACTTGCATGTCTGCTTTGTCGTGTTTTGTGCGTGATTCATAATCATAGTGGGCTAGTTATTGGTGACAGCTCGGTAGCTAACGTTTGCTAGCTGGCTAACCAGTTGCTATCAGTTTGCTTATCAGCTGTTTTTAAGCCCATACAGTGGGTTAGAAATACCGATATGTTCCGAGGACAAAGCTTGTCAAATTTTAAACGGTGGCTTTTCTTTTTCGACATATACGGTCAGGGACACTTGACAGCGTAGCCCAGGGGCTAATTAGCATTTGCTGGCTTCGTAAAGGCACACATGCAAGCTTGGTTACAATAACTTTAGCGAAATGGCTGCAATGTATCCTAATGATTAATCCAACCAGCTGGCGTTATATCAAAGCAGCTTGACGCAATCTATCAGTTTCAGCGAGGCCACTCGCTACATAGTAACAAAGCCACGAGCTGTCACAGTAGTTTAAAGTGACATCATCCTCACAGACAGGTCGTTGGCATTTTGCACATTATAAGTTTTTATCAGGCTACCAAAACAAAATGGGCTGATTTCTATGGTTTGGCTGTTTCAAAACAGAAATGTATTTTATTAGCTATATTTCAATCTGATTGTGTTGTAGGGAGTGTATTTTGGATCAAGGAGGAGACAGATACAGAATCCGTCCTTAATGGCACCCTATTCCCTTTATAGTGCACTACTTTTGGCTCTGGTCAGAATTTGTGCACTAATGAGAATAGGGTGGTATTTGGGGCACACTGACAGTGCTCAGCACCCGCTTTTTACCCAACAACCCACTCGCCCCCCACATAAGATCTCTCTCTGCCTAGTATTTAGGTCGGCACCACTGCATTGCACTGCACTCTATTGGATCAGACATTATCTAGGATGCCTCCTCAGTGTTGTGCCCCTCTTTCCTGCGCCATTTCACTATTGCAAAAGAGCATCTCTTGAATGCATACTGTAAGGGTATCATTGGTATAAATCAATTATATGTAGATGAGTCAGCGAGATGCTCTAGTGGGCTGCCAGATTTATGAGCAAAGAATGTTGTTTTTGCGTCCCAAATGGCACCCTATTCCCTATGTAGTGCATTACTTTGGGCCCTGGTCAAAATTTGTGCAACATAAAGAAATAGGGTGCCATTTGGAACTCAATCGCTGTAGCTCAATGCAGTTACTCCTCGATCAGACCGACAGTGTCATTGCAGTACATTACATTATAGTCATTTAGCAGACACTCTTATCCAGAGTGACTTACAGTTAGTTAGTGAGTGCATACATTTTTTTCCCTCTTTTTTTTTCTCCCATTTATTTTTTCATACATGCATCAATGCTGTGTAATAAATTCTGCAGTCAAACTTTTGTCATTTTGTAATCCCACATTTTTTGTGGATAACATTCACCTTTTGCTACTATTTCTGTCAAGTCTACGCATACAATTTGATGCATACGTTGGATAAACCCAACGTATGCACCACCCAGAATGCACTGCAACTGCAACGCAATGCTGCAAGGCAAACGCAGCGTTCCATTGGAAATGAATGTACTTCTGGTGTATCAAAACGCAATGACGCTGTCGGTGTGATCGAGGCGTAAGAGAACGATACACTGCCCTGTCTGTCTGTTCATTTGATCAGTTAGGCTACAGTGCCTTCAGAAAGTATTCACACCCCTTGACTTTTTCCACATTTTGTTGTGTTATAGCCTGAATTTAAAATTGATTAAATGAAGATGTTTTGGTCACTGGCCTACACACAATACCCCATAATGTCAAAGTGGAATTATGTTTTACAAATTAACTACAAATGAAAAGCTGAAATGTCTTGAGTCAATAAGTATTCAACCCCTTTGTTATGGCAAGCCTAAATATGTTAAGGTTTAAACATTTGCTTAACAAGTCACAATAAGTTGCATGGACTCACTCTGTGTGCAGTAATAGTGTTTAACATTATTTTTGAATGACTACCTAATCTCTGTACCCTACACATACAATTATCTGTATGGTCGCTGAGTTGAGCATTGAATTTTAATCCACAAAAACCAGGGAGGTTTTCCAATGCCTCGCTAAGAAGGGCACCTATTGGTAGATGGGTAAAGATAAAAAAAAGCAGACAGTGAATATCTCTTTGAGCATGATGAAGTTATTAATTACACTTTGGATGGTGTATCAATCAGTCACTATAAAGATACAGGCGTCTTTCCTAACTCAGTTGCCGGAAGGAAGGAAGGAAACCGTTCAAGGATTTCACGATGAGGCCAATGGTGACCTTTAAGACAGAGTTTTA